TTGGCGGCTTTTCAGAAGATCATTTTGATAACACTTTCCTTTGGTGGTGCTATTTATGAAGGTCTGAATCAAGGTAAATATTTTCCAAGAACACTCACACCAATTAACCTAGCCCCAAAGTAAGCACTCCGCGTAAGGCTTGTGTAATGTAATGATCATGATACTAGGGTAACGGATAGAATACATACATATACTGTACTTATATAAGTATATTTATATAGAAATATATATGAAACATCCATGACTGGAGTACAAATTCTCGTATTCATCACACAAACATCTACCCCCACGGGGATTCGAACCCGAGACCTCCCGAGTCGGCGACACCATGAAACCCGGCGTACAAGGTTCACAGCTCCATGGGGTAAAGGACAGGGTAGATAGGTTATAGCGCCATGGTGCCTCCTGCTTACCATATGTCCATTATAACATACATTACATTATATTATAACATTCACAATGCTGAAGCGACATAAATTCCATAAATTTATTTATTTGGCGTATGATTAGATGTTTCCTTGATAAAAAATGTATGACGGGCCGAGTGATTTTCACATAAGTGACAACTAATTCGTTAAGTTAAGGCAAGGCACAATGTAACTTTTTAATAGGGAATGCTCCCTAAATTTAGAAAAAAATATTTATGAATTATGTTTTTATTTAAATCTAAAGAAAATATAACTAGAAAAAATTCCACGCGGACCAGGCAGCAGACGGGACTCGAACCCGCACCCTTCGCAATCCGGGCGAATGCACTGACCAATTATGCTACCGCGGCCCTCATGGACCGCGTCGAAATTCTTTCTAGCTATTCTTAAGCTGCAGGGCAGCGGCATCTCTTCGCATTATAGGTAAACCCACAATGTCAAATGAATACTTTTACAAGTATTAAACATTTGAAGGAAGAAATACTTAATAATATAAATAAACTTAATAATAAATAAATAAGAAATGTTTAATACTTGTAAAAGTATTCATTTGACATTGTGGGTTTACCTATAATGCGAAGAGATGGCGCTGCCCTGCAGCTTAAGAATAGCTAGAAAGAATTTCGACGCGGTCCATGAGGGCCGCGGTAGCATAATTGGTCAGTGCATTCGCCCGGATTGCGAAGGGTGCGGGTTCGAGTCCCGTCTGCTGCCTGGTCCGCGTGGAATTTTTTCTAGTTATATTTTCTTTAGATTTAAACATCAAGCAGTTACATGCTTTAAAAATAATAAAAATTATAACTATAATTGCTATTTCTTCTTTCAAATGTTTAATACTTGTAAAAGTATTCATTTGACATTGTGGGTTTACCTATAATGCGAAGAGATGGCGCTGCCCTGCAGCTTAAGAATAGCTAGAAAGAATTTCGACGCGGTCCATGAGGGCCGCGGTAGCATAATTGGTCAGTGCATTCGCCCGGATTGCGAAGGGTGCGGGTTCGAGTCCCGTCTGCTGCCTGGTCCGCGTGGAATTTTTTCTAGTTATATTTTCTTTAGATTTAAACATCAAGCAGTTACATGCTTTAAAAATAATAAAAATTATATGTTTTTATTTTTATGACGCGACTTCTCATTTACTATGAGTTATGTTTTTTTTTTGTGAAAATATAAAAAAAACTTTTATCCTCGTTTCTGTAAAATGGCGTTTAAGCGATTATGCTTTTCAACTGTTGAACTATAATTATCGGAAACCAATGGGGATCATTACTAGGTCAGCAAATCAACTCAAAATCAACAGTATTATGATCATTAGATCATAATGCTTTTTAATTAATATACTTTTTAAATCATCGAAATCGGTTCATTCGTTGCGTTTTTATAACTAATTTTAGTGGTAGCCAATATTCACCGGCAGCCGAAACGTGTGACGTCACAGAGTTCGATCGTGGTTCACTCCGGTCGAACTTCAGTAACGTGTCTACGCTCGCGCCCAAGCTCTAGAGCTCTGTGACGTCAGTCACCACGCGGCCAGACGACAATTCGTTTAGTAAGTTGGTCACAACTTCGTCAATATTCGTATTTTTGGAAATAATAAAGTGTTTAAAGAACTCGAGGTTAATATGGTTAACTGTACTGTGCATATGAAAAATAAGACTATTATTAACATGCATAACTACCATAATCAAAATAATATTTGAAACTGTTTGTTTATTTTAATTTATCCTCCCGTGTCAACCCCTTCCAAAAAAAAGCAAAATTTCATCGGGTCTATAGAAGCTTTGTCGCTGTACCTTTCTATATTTACTACTCATGTGGTTTAAATTTCAACTCAATAGCTCCAGGTGTTCCTGAGATAATAAGTTCTTGACAGATAGACAGACAGAGACAAGAAAATGATCCTATAAGGATACCGTTTTTTCCTTTTGAATTACAGAACCCTAAAAACTATTTTTAAAGCTAGCAGCTGGCGGCACATTCTGATTTTTAATTTCGCCCACACTCCATTGTGCGAGTAAATTCTAATTAAAAAATGAAGCATAACATTAGTTGAAATCACAAATGTCCTTTATGCTATCTGTCAAATGGATAACATTATATTTTTTAATATTATATGTTCAGTTAATTAATGAGCATGCCAAGACAGGCTGATAATGCAATAAATCACAATAAACGAATTAATTACACAGGCCGTGAAAGATAATTAATTTACCAGTTAAGCTGGGAACAAAGTTTGATGAATGTTGAAATTAAAGCTTTGTGTTCATATAGCATATTGTAATATAAGTATCATGATCATCATCAGCCTATTAATGTCCCTACTGCTGGGGCACAGGCCTTCCTTGTGGATGAAATAGGGAGATTGAGCCATGACCCACCTTGTGGGCCCAGTGCGGATTGGTGGGGGCTAACAACTGCAGATGCAACCGGTAATAACAGCTTATTGTGCCTTCCGAAACACGGAAGAGCTTAATATAGTAAATTTATGGTCACCCATCCAATGACCAACCACTGCGAAAGTTGCTTAACTTCAACAATCACATCCAAATGCACAAACCACTCGAGCCATTGAGCTCCTCAATGTATAAGTATCCATACTGAAATACAGTTATTGCAACAGCAGTCCTGGATTTGAAAAAAGTATTGGATGCTTGCTATTTCGTCTGTGTGGAAAAATTGGTTTCCCATACATATTTTTGGGATAAAAGCTATCCTTTATCCTTTCCAGGGACTCAAACTATTTCAGTTTAAGCAAAAAGATATACTTTCAGATTTATTATATTAGTATGGATAAACACAAAACAGGCCCCATAAGGATATCGAGTTGCGGTAACACTTATCGCAAGAACAAGAACATAAATATTTCTTCCTGATTCATGGTTGTTTTAAATAATGACTGTCTTTTAGTCACAAAAAAGAAGAAATATATATTTGAAAGAGGTAAAATAAATTTATGTGTATTATTTTTTAAAATACCTACCTGGAAAATTACTCTACATTAATATGTTAGTCTTAAAAATCCTATTGCTAGCTGCAGTTCTAGGAAAAAAACCTACAGAACAGCTTTATGTAATATGCAATGAGGAGCATACTTCCATTTACCATAAGTAATAAGAATTGATTAATAGAGCTAAAACACTAAAAAAGTAAGACCATAATAGAATAATCAGTTTACTATATGAATGACTAGCGGATGCCCGTAACTTCATCAGTATTATCTTTGGTTTTTTAGTGAATCCCACAGGAACCTTGTTTACATTACACATTTCGTGTTCGTTAATTTTATGAAATACATAACAGAATATACGCAATAGCGTTCAAATAAGATATTTTTTAATGTACATAACTACTAGTTTGAAATAAACTTTTACTTTTCATAATCCTGAGTCTTCTTCTTTCCATTTACCAACAACTCCCATAAAATGTAGAGTTTCTTTAGTGCTGTTACATAGAGTTTAAATTGTATATTGTAAATTAATCTTACTCTAGGTTATAAAAAAAATATAACAACTTAAACAACAGTAAAAACCGATACAAATAATCAAAACCACTAAAAATTAAGAAATAATATATTTTCACCTGCAACGTCAAATTAGTAAATTTCGTCATTGTACAGCGAAAACCCAGAAGTTGAAATTAGTTGATAATGCAAAATCAACTCAGTATTTCGTCTCAGAAAAAGAAATATAACAACAAACCACTTATGGGCATAATCTAAGTACTATCAACGCAGATGTAATCTTTGTAAATTATCATAATTAATCTTCAACTGCATAAGAATAGTATCAGCCAAGCATAGCTTAATTTTGAGATAGAAATTTTCAGTATGTATTCCAAATGGATAAAATTCAAGGATATATAACACAATGCAAATAAAACGGATTCAATATTTACGTTTTCTTTTAAAATTATTAACTGTGTTACCTTTAAATTCCAAGACTTTTATGTCAGTGCACAATAATCGAAATTTAGAATAATATATTTATAAATATTGTAGCCAAGTATTCTTTAAATCGGCAAAAAGTTTTCTTCGATTAACCCCGCAACCTTCAAAAGATCAGGGGAAGTCGCGGTCAAAAGCTGATAAATAAATATTTATCTAACAAAACCATCTGCCGCGTACCGGCATACCAATTTGTTAGTAAACAAATAACACATGATCAACTGGCCGCTTTTTAAGTTATTCTCGCACTGCCATTTCTACATATATCTGGCTATCTAATATCAAAAATCCAGCTTATTCCGTCGTAAAACGATAGAGAAAACCTCATTTATAACAATGCCGGCACCGAAACTCTACGTTGAAAAATACCATGCGGTGCATACGCGCCAAATTTTGAAGTAAACATCGTTTCACGTAGAAAGCCTAAGAACAAGATGTTAGCGAATTTTTTAGAATTTTCTGTGTATTCCAGTACACTTGGCAAGTGTTACAATGCAGATAAGTACGCAAAATTCTTAAATATAATTTTGGACAAAATATACCGCCTCTAGCGGTGTGATTACGAAACGAAAACATGATGGCGGATCACACAGTAGATTCGATGACTGCAATCAAATGCGCAAAATACTTACACTTTCTTCCTCTTTTTCCATTCCAGAGGGCATTTGAGGTACAGCACGGTTAATCGCCGAGTAGTCCGGTAAATCCGGAAGCTCCTCGGCGAGATATATAGGCATTGGTTTCGACGCATCCAGGGCCCTCGCCCTAAACGAGAGCTTCGACATTTTGTTGACAGAACAAAACACGCTAGCGTCGACACTAAAATGCACTTATAAATCACTTTATAGCTCCTCCAGGAGGTCCCAAAGGACCTTAAACTACACTTTGCACACTCTAGTTCGTTCCCATGGTTAATTTTTGCACGCACTCAGTCACAATTAATGAAAAACAATAACGAAACTTTACATATTGAGCGTACTTTACAGAAAGCCATCATGGCGGCTTTCCGTTTGGCGGACGACCATGACCAACTTCCAGCTAGCCAGACGTGCGCGGGAAGGAAACACGCGGGGGCAATTCCGAACTTTTAATTTCTCTTTCTATATTTATCGCAAATATTGGCAATTAGTTAATTAAAAACATCAAATGATTTATATAAATGAATAATAAATAAAACATTGTGGCAATCACTTATATAAATTAAGATTTATAAATTAATAAGTATTCAGCTGACTGAAATTCTACGTAGTGTATCATAGACAACAATGAGGTGTGTCTGTTCCGTTATACGTAAAAATATAAGCAGCAATGTCACTCTTTACATTATGGTTATTTTTTCATTGAGAATCATATCACAGTAAAGTTTAATTTATTAATATTTTAGATTACCTAATTTTAATATAAATCATGAAAAAACGGAAAAATTGTCATCCGGGGTTTTTATTGTGAAAATTTGGATCAAATAATTTTATAAGATTTCTTTTTCAGTACTGTTACTTTTGTATTTTAAGTTTATAAATATTGTGATAAATATTATATGTATACATTCTGTACCCCTAGCACGAACCAATATCGAATTCGTATCGTTTGCGAGTCCGAAATGTCATTGTCAAATGTGTACTGATTTTTAGTTCTCGTTACGTACTTTGTACCGCTGCTTTTCAAGTTTCCATACAAAATTTGACATTGTCATTTCGATTTGCAAACTATTCGAAGTCGATAATGGTTCGTGCTAGGGGTACTGAACTTGAAATATTTTATCAAATTTTGTTTCTAATTTTTCGTTTTTCCCTCGTAAAATTATTACATTCTATTGTCTATGGTTTTTTTTATGCTGTGAACACACTAGGCCCACGAAATCGGTATTTTTTATAATAGATTTGAGCGCGTTTGTTGCCATATTTGACCCATCGGTATGACCACAATCACTCCTTATGTTAAACAGCGCCGTGGTGTGGACTCTTACCTATATTTTATATATCGAGGAATACAAACGCAGAAAGGGAGTTCCACAACGGATCACATGTTTTAATAGGACGCGAATCTTGAGATACACAGGGGAAGTATGACAACCACGTACCGCTGAAGACACTGTCCACGTCTCGTCGTCCAATGTGACGTAGCGTTTGACTTTCACAAGAGCTTGTAACAGCCTAGACTGAATAAATGAGTTTGCATTTGAATGGTAAAAGGATAAAGGTCGACACACTCTCCAAAATGTATCGATGTAGCCGACTGGTTGCGAGTACTTCTTCACCTATGAGTTTTTAGCACTTCTGTCAATAGCTTAAAAGGCCTTAAGCTGGTAGCGGGCGGATCCGCAGCGGAGCAGTACTCCCATAGATATTCAAGAGCGAACTTATATATTCTTATATATTCAAGAGCGTGAATAAATATTCAGAAATTGGGGCGGACTAAAATATTAGGGGACCTTGGCCCAATTTTTTGACGGAGACAGCTTTTGACCATATCTCGCTATTAAAATTATGGTTAGGTGACAAATCCACATCAAGGAGCTGTAGTGTAGGTGTTGGATAATCGACTTTCCGAAATGTGCCCGGGCTCATTTAGCAGAAAAATGACACGCCTGAGTATTTATGGAATTAAAGTTTACAAGGTTGAAGTCACCTCATTCAGATACCGCTTGAAAGGTTGAATTCACGCGCTTAACCATTTTCGCTCTCAGTTTTTTTTTTGGTATCCGTTTGCTTTGTTTTGAACAAAATACTCGCTTTTGGACTAGTTACGAGCGGTTTTTTGTTAATGATGTATATTTGTCTTTGTATTTTTTTAATTTTAATTTATTATTACGCCCTCAGTTTGTCTGTGGCTTGTAAATCCCTGTGCAGGATTAATATCTCTCCGGGACCGTGCTATCGCTTGCCAGTGTATTACTTTTCTCTATGGCTATCGCCTACATACCCAAAAATACCGGGCTTGAGCAGGTCTTTTACAGTGCTGCCAACACTAGCATTGCCCAGTTGCTAGACATCTTACAAAATGTTGCTAGATAGTCAGTTTTTATTACCCCAAAAAGTTGCTAGAAGTAGCTAAATGAAACACTAGGTAAAAATTATACTATATACACTGACCGTAGACGCAAAAAAAATAGTTTAAGACCTTTATTTTAGAAAAACTTGTAAACTAAAATTATCCTACTAATTTTCCTCGTCGAAAAAGTCTGCTTTCATCAAAACAAGTTTTAAATTCACGTACCTGTTTTGAACTTTACTTTCTAAGTTTTTTTTTGTCCTAACATGTTTGTTTATGTCAAATAGTTTAGCCAGAATTTCCGTAGAACAATTAACTAGTACAAAACGCTTTGCTTGAGTCTCTACTTGCTGCTTTTAACGAACCTGTCTGTATTTCTGAACTTATGTTTTTATTTTCTCAAGGATAAATCGATTTTCATATTAAATTAAAACAGCATTAGTTTTATAGCCTTTAATGCCAATATATTTTTATTAGTGTTAAATTTAATTTATTTTTGTTTCGAGGGACTCAGTAATTAATGAAATAAATGTGAGTAAGTAGATATATTGTGGGATTCGTAGTAAAAATATTTTAAATAAAAGTAAAAAGAACCGACTTCGCCACATTCAAATATATCAGTCGGAAATCGTATTTTTTCGTTTTCAGTTTTTCTGAAGTTGATTTTATTTTTATTGAAGTAAAAACTTCTTTAGCACCGCTGTGATTTGAAACTCGATGGAACGAAAATTTTACAGTTTTTGACACAGGGTATCCGTAATTTTGTGACTTTCTGCAAGAGACAAATAACCGAACGGTAACCGGTTTTGGGGTCGACCCCAAATGATCCGTAGCTCGATACTGAGATCGGTAATTTTTTTGCAGGCTGCGGCAGGATGGCAGGGTCGTGAGACCACCCTTGGTTCCTAGATTGTCCCTGCCGCCCTGCACGTTGCCGCGTGTGTAGCGCGATCGGGGCAATTTTTCATTCAGTTTTTTCCTGTACCTGTCATACGGAGTGCATGTATTTCGATCAACATGACGGCATGGGCAGATCATAATGAGCATGAAGTTTGGTCTCGAGTGATAGAAATGTGGCGGCGACATCTACACGCCCCACATATAACTAACATGGAGGAAACAATCTTACGCCTCCTCAAGAGATGGCACTACCGGCGCTGCGTTCACAACGTAAGGAAAGCCTACATCGCGCAAGTAAAATTCGGTAGCCAACAGTTCATATAATACGATGCCCGGCCAATATCAGTTAGACCGCTGCCCCCGAGCTACCATCATCTAGCTCGGAGGAAGACCTTCCCCATTGGCCTTCCTACAGAAGTATATAAAGACCGGCCCCACTTGTGGGATAAAAAAACACAAACGTTATTTATTAACAATACATTTTTTTCTGTTGCCAATTCTTAACCCAGTATTTCGTTTTTTGCGCTAACACCATTGAAAGAGTCAGGGTCACAAGCTTAATGCGGGCTACTGATATCCCTGCCGCAGGGCCAATCTAGGGCGCACGGCGATCGGGGCAATATCGGCTTGTCTCTACACACATGCCTGTTATTCAGTGTTCGGGTATAAGTTGGACTAAACGCACTTGTTGATAATGGACTTAGTATTATCAAAAGATCGGTAGGTAGGGCCTTAGCTCTTTCTATGGTGTGATTCTTCACACAACTTGACAGAATTGGCAACAGAAAGAAATGTATTGTAAATTAATATTGTTTGAGTTTTTTTAACCCGTATATGGGGAGGGTCTTTTTATCACTTGAGACCAAACTTCATGCTCATTATGATCTGCCGCCATCTTGATCGAAATACGTGTGCTTCGTGTGACAGTTACCAACCAACTGATTGACAAAATTGCCAAGACGCCCTACACACGCGGCAGGGACAATCTAGGAACCAAAGTGGTCTCGCGCCCCTGCCGCCCTGCCGCAGGGCCAATTTAGAAAATTGCCCCTGCTTGCCTACACCATCACAATTAAGGGTCATCCCCACTCTTACACCGCTGGTACAGCAGTCATAACTGCTGTACCAGCTAACTTCGCGTTTGGACTTTATCACCACTTGACATCAGGTGTGGTAGTCATTTTATTTTTTTTAATCTTTATTCTGAAGAAAGAAGGCTGTTGTCGCTGAGCGACTATGTCAGCCCCATGATGATACATTTAGTATTATAATCTATACTTAATTAGTTTTATTATAATATTACCTAATTTAATGGCTAATTTTGATGTCGGCTTGGACAATATAATATTGCACAAGCCAACATGTCTTAAGCTAACTTTATGTTCAAGCTCTAAAGCTCTGCGTTCAGATTCGATCCGGATACACTCCACTAAGGTATGGTACGTGTCCTCTCTTACACCACAGATTGTACAGTTGGGAGATTCAATAACTTTCATTAGGAATCCAAACGCATTCAGTGGAATGTGTCCGGAACGCAATCTCATGATAGTCACAAGAAGTGGCCGATTCATATTTTCTTTGGCAAACCAGGGTATTTTTGGTGGTTCAGACTGTATTGTTTTATACCATATACATTTCTCCTCGGATCTCTTATCGAAATACTCTTTCCACAATTTGTAACATTCTTCTTTTGAATCCTTTAACCAATCCGTGAAGAAAGGCATATGGTTTATTGTTATCCCTTCGTTACCGCTAGTTTTTGCAGCCTTGTCAACAAGTTCATTTCCCATTAAATTTATATGTGACGGAATCCATTGAAATCTAATATTTATTCCTTTTTACATGCTTGTAAGAATTGTTTTAAAATACAATATAAAAGTCCTCTTTTGCCTGATGTACCTACATCGTGTTAAATGTTGTAAAACACTCATAGAATCCGTCAGTACTAAAAAGTTGTGTTCATTACATGACAATATAATTATATGACAAACATTCACAAATTGCATACAATTCTGCTCCCATTATTGATATTTTATTATGTGGTTTAAAGCTCATTATTGACTTGGCCTGAGGATCAAAAAATGCAGCACCTGTCCCATCTTTATCTTTAGATCCGTCTGTGTATATCTGGTAGTAGCCTTTCAAATTTTCTTGAATACATTCCAAGGATTTTTTCAATAATTCCATAGAATTG